AACCGGATACGGGGAGAGGGAAATGACGTAAAGTGACAGAGTATACCTCATTGCTTTTTACCTTTCCTTCCATGTCTACGGAAACAAACTGTAGCGTGCACGTTTCTGACCGTCGGAAATAATTGATTTGCAGAAAAAGAAGTTGGGCAGTTTCCGTTGAATGTTCAAGGTGAGAATGAACGAAAAAAGGACTAGTAATCAAGCTATTCCACGACTTAGATGCGCACCTTAACATGGATAACGTATTCACGGGGCATCTTATAAAAATAGAGCTTATAACATCACCACACTACTCGAAAACTGCCAAATTTTGACCACCAATTTCGATCGAGATCGGTCGGAATTAAAGAAAAAGCAACCGATTTCCGACCGCTTTTAATTCGTCGGAAGAATAATGATCGCTAAGGCTTTGCGACCGACGGCAGTCGAAATTTTTCGACCGATTTCGATCGGTTAATTCAACTGTTGGTTGACCGCATTGACAGACAAAAATAATTATACCGACCGAAATAGGTCGGAATTATTTAAATTTTTATTTATTTATTTTTTAAATTATCGACCGACTTCGGTCGGAATTATAAATATGTAATAATTTTAATTTTAATAAACTGACCGAAGTTGGTCGGAAACAAAAATAATAATTAAATAAAAATATTTATTTTCGACCGACCGTGGTCGGAAATTTCAATTTTGGGGTTTTTGTATGAGAATTTCAACCGAAATCGGTCAATTTTCTAGGTAAAACCAGGCAGAATATGCTTGCTTTTAAGCTACACGACCTGCCAATTACAACTAATATCTATCCTATAATGACATCATTACATTACTGCCATTCAACCACAATTAACCAACAACTACCACAACAACAACTATGATTAACCAACAATAACCACAACAACAACTATACAAATATTCAATAACAAAATAATATCAACAATACAATCAACATTCAAAACTATTCCCAACTAAATATTTACAAGTTCAAAAATGTGTTTAGCAATATACACCATTCAATGAGTATTTTGTATTGCATCATGTCCATCTTCACTACTAGAAGGTTCATCGTCGGCACGGTTCGAAGGATTATATGTTATATTAATCTTAATTCAAATTAATTTATATAATTAAATTACATAATAAACTTTAGTTACAAAATCCCAAATTGTAAACCCTAATTTATACAGTTGAAAGAATTTATATAACTAAAATTAACAAATGTGGATAACTAATCTTCAAAGAGAAGAGAGGGGTATGATTTTGGGAGTGGCGCGGCAGTGGCGGAGGAGCAGTGGTGACGGTGAAGCAGTGGTGGCGCGGGAGAGACGAAGTGGGGGGTTTGATTTTGGGTTAGAAGGGAATGGTGAGGCGATTTGGGTGAGATTTGGGAAGGATTTTCGGATGTGGAAGAAAGATTGAGAGAAAGAGTAAAGAGAAAAACGGGGAAGAAACCCGTGCTATGTGCCCTTAATTGGAAAATTCGATCGGTATCATTAAGTTAATTTTGACCGTTTGACTACACATAACTGACCCAAATCGGTCGGTAATTAATTTTTAAATTATTTTTATAATTAATTTAATTATAAACCGACCAAAGTCGGTTGGTTTTTGTCAATTTATAATATTTAATATTTGACTTATATATANAGTGTGCGCGCGTATGTATGTGTGTATGTATGTATATAAATAAATAAATATATGCATATACAATTTACTATTTTCGATCGATATCGGTCGGAAAATTTATAATTATAAGATAAATAATTATTTATTATAAAAAAAAATAATTGACGTAGGGCGGGCAAAAATTAAATTAAAAATTTCGACAGACATCGGTCGGTATTCTATATATTTTTTAATTAATTATTATTTTTGTAGATAGTATATAAGTCTGACCAGTCTTTGGTCAAAGATTGACCATTTTCTGACCGAAGGCTGTCGGATTTTGTTTTTTTTGTGGGACTACATAAACCGACCGATATCGGTCGGTATTCTTATTTATAATTTTTTATTTGATTTTTTCGACCATTTTATTTTATTTCAGATCGATTTCGGTCGGTATTTCTTTCCGACCGAAAGTCGGGCGAAATGTCTTGGATGAAATTTACCAGTTTTCTAGTAGTGGCAGGTAGCTTGTAAAACTCATTATTATTATTTGCATTATTCCCCTCCTCCTCCTCCTCCTCTGTACTTTTCCTTAATATTGATCGGTTCTTCTTCTTATTAGGCTGCAATAGCATCAAACCATGGCACATATTACGCTTTGAAAAATAAACATAATATTTCAGGAAACAACTTCAATCAAAACGGTAAAAATCTAAAAATTGAGCAAAATCCCTTATGGTTCAAAAATTAAGAGGCTAATAATATTGTGAATTTTTACCCACGTCGAGTAATCGTAAACTCCTTTATTGTTTCAATTTTTATTGGACTGAATAACTAAAAATCTCTCTAAACTTGACACGGATTATTAGTTACACCTCTAAACTATTCGTGGTCTTAATTACCCCCTGAACTTGGCCTTTTGAGAGCCATTACCTCCCTGGACATTGATGTGGCAAAGAGTGTGGGCGCACTCTCTTTAATTTTAAGCGTGTGAGAGTAAAGAAAAATTAGAAAATCAGCTTACAAGTACATTATTTTTTAACTTTTAATTGCATATAGTCATATATAATAATTTGTTTATTATAACTATGTATTTCTTCTTGCTTCATCTTGACATATAATGTGGAGTTTACTTTAACTTTTATTCTTTTTAATTTCTTCTATAGATATAATGTCTATTTATTCCAATAGCATATTTTTTCTTTTTTTTTTGGGCCAAATTTGTAAAAGTTTGGTTGAAACTCCATCATTTTAGCCAAATAGAAAACCTTTATTAAAAATAACGGAGTACTAGTTGTGTATTTTCTGTTATTTATTTTCTTTAGAAATAATATCTATTTATTTTTATTATTTATTTTTATTTTCGAGTCAAATCAGTTAAAAAATGGCTACAACTCCATTATTTTTTACCAAATAAAAAGGTATAGCGAAAATAATGAACTTGCAACCGTATACTCTTTTTATTTCTTCTTTTGATGCAATGACTATTTATTTCAATAATGTATTTTTACTTTTTCCGGTAATTAATATCTGTGAAACAATAATATTTTTAGAGCTCCATAATTTAGAGCTATATAAAAAATTATAGTCAAAATAATAAAAATCAAACTATGTATTTTTATATATTTTTAGATGCCTTGACTATTTAATTCAAATGTATAAATCTTTATTTTCAGGTCAAATTCAAAAACAATAACTAAAACTTTATTTTTTTTAGCCAAATAATTATTTTTAGCCTAAATAATGTAGTTTTAACCAAGGTTTATTATAAATATTATTAGAAAAAGATGATCTAAAAAAGTAACACATTTAAAAAGGTATAAAATATATTTTATTTTTTAAAAAATGCCACATGGACAGGAAAATTCACGTGGCAGCGAGTGCATGCCACTTCCTAGGAAGAGATCGTCCAAGGGAGTAACAACTATCGAATAACCAAGTATAAGGGGATAATTAAGACCATAAATAGTTCAAAGATGTAATCAATAATACGTGCCAAGTTTACGGGGGTTTTAAGGTATTTTGCCTTTTTATTGCTATGTCGCAAGGAAAGAGATGAACGAGAATGTGGGAGGGCATAACAGGGTAAAAATTGCATGGGGCGCCCTATTTGGTCGTCCCCATTTAACCTATACCCATATTTTTAAAATTATTTAACCTATACCCATATTTTTAAAATTATTTAACCTATACCCTAATTTTGACAACTTCAGATCCCGCGACCTATGCGCTCCTTTCTTCCTCCTCTTCTTTTCCTCTTCTTCTTCTTTTCTTTTTCAAACATGTTATCCTGTAAGTTACACATGTTATCGTTTCTGGAAATTGGACAAAGCGACAAATCAAGAAGAAAGAAAGACTCGCCACTGCCTCTCAAACATTAATACATCCCAACACAAAAGTACGTAAATAATAAAATAAGAGTTTATTGTCAAAACTCGAAGAAGTATCAACTGAAGTTTGGGACTGCAGGGACAAACTTCAGACATTACCAAGTTAAATTTTGTCTGAAGTTTGCAACTATCATGCCAGAAAAAATTATCTGAAGTTCAAATATAACAAGCTGATTTTGTCTGAAGTTTGCACCACAAACTGAAGAACTTCAGACTAATTTGTCTGAACTTTGCACCCCAACACAAAGTACGTAAATAATAAAACAAGAGTTTATTGTCAAAACTCGAAGAAGCATCAACTGAAGTTTGGGACTACAGGGCCAAACTTCAGACCTTACCAAGTTAAATTTTGTCTGAAGTTTGCACTACAAACTGAAGAACTTCAGACTAATTTGTCTGAACTTTGCACCCCAACACAAAGTACGTAAATAATAAAACAAGAGTTTATTGTCAAAACTCGAAGAAGCATCAACTGAAGTTTGGGACTACAGGGCCAAACTTCAGACCTTACCAAGTTAAATTTTGTCTGAAGTTTGCACTACAAACTGAAGAACTTCAGACTAATTTGTCTGAAGTTTGCACCTCAAATTGAAAAACTTCAGACTAATTTATCTAAAGTTTGTACTACGAACTGAAGTTCTTTTGATTGCTTTTGCAAGTCAGGCCAAACTTCAGACGAAAAATCTGAAGTTTTACTTTGATAAGGTCACACTTCAGGCAAAAAATTCTGAAGTTCATACTTCAGACATAAATTCTTGCTACTTCAGGTCCCGTATATCTAAAGTTATCCGAATAGTGGGTACGCTTGCAATTATTTTTGCAAAGTGGGTATAAGTTAAATTGTGACCCAAAAACTGGGTATAGATGCAAATCCCCCATAACAAGCTATAAAGAAGAAATAAAGCCCAGGTTTTGTCGATTGGGCCTTCGACGGCCCAAGTTCTATGGCCACATAAAAATACGACGCCGTTATAACGGGAGCTTATTTCATTTTTGAATAAACCCTGGCGCTGCTTTGCCCTAAACCGTGGTGGTCGTGTTCGATCTTGCTTCGACTTAAGCCCTAGCGTGTTCTTCAATTTCTTCAGCAACAAAATGAAGCTCGTCAGGTCAGTTTAAAATCTTCAATTTATTCTCAAGTTCTTTTTTTTCCTTACGGTGAGCTTAAGTCATGGATTTGACTTTAAGTTTCTGTGCAGATTTTTGATGAAGTTGAACAACGAGACCGTATCAATTGAGCTCAAAAACGGCACCGTTGTTCATGGAACCATTACAGGTCACTCTCTCTACCTTTCTGTCAATTATTTTTGGCTTCTTATTCTTAGTATATAATTCTTATAGCTGTTTACTTACTAGGTATGGCCATAATTAATTTCTTAAGTTAAAAAGAAAAACCTGCGCTTTCCTAGTAGCCGTATTAGTCACGCCAATTCGATACTGTAGTTGCTGGGAGGAATATGCAAGTTGCTGAACTGAATTTTGGTTAACGTCACATGTTAAGTTCGTTTATACGTCATGAATGGTAACTGCAATAGCTTACCTCACTCTCCGTCATTACCACCACTAGCAGAGTTTGATTCTGGATTTGAAGTTTATGGATCTTTTTGTTGATTAAGTGATTTGTTTCATTAAAAGGAAAGGCATCAAGAAAATGCAGGATTACAAGGAGCTTAATTACAGGAGTGCTAACAAGTACCAAAAAGTGTCCAATACTAATTACTGGGACAATTTGTCCAGCAAAAACAAGTAGTTAAACATTTGTCTTTAGGTGAGTGGTTTGGAGTTGAGATGCCATCAAAACATCTTCTGTTTCTCTCATTCCATAGACACCAAAAAATAATTTCAGGGATCATAAGCCACATCTTTTTGATGAATTTATCAACTTTCCAAAGATTCCAACTCAAATATGCCTCTCAGATTCTGTGGCATGACTGAAGTTTATGGATTTCTACAACGTCTCAAGTTAATATACTATATTACATGAGTTTTATAGATATTTAGTGAATTGCTTAATAAATATATATGGTCTAAGCAAAAGCTACCAGGTGTTGAATTTGATGAAATAAGCACAGACTCAACGAAGTAAGATCTCTACTTCTCTTTCATGGCTGTACAAGTTGAAAGAAATTGATGTGTTCTATAGTTACTCTAATTGTTCAATAATTTCTTCCTAAGAAATTTTTTTCCCAGTACTATGGCAGACTTTGTTTTAGGCTTTCTAACACCGATATAATATCCTTCTCAAGAAAATATGTACGGACCCACATGAAAATTCTAATCATCAATGACCTTTTGTGCGTGCAAATACAACTATCTTGCCTCCCAAATAGTTGGGTTGGCTATACGAATGATGAATTCGCTATATCTGTTTTGCGCTATTCAGACTATTTCATTAATTCACACTTATCTGTACACTGACATACAAATCTCTAAGCAAACTAAAAACGAGGAACTTGGTGGCATGAACATGGTATTCATAGCATGCTTTTTGTTATTTTCTTAAGATCTTTAATGATTTAACTCCATTTCACATAATCTTTTCTTTAAAATTGGTGGCACTCCTTTGTGCATATTCTGGACTATTTGGCTGAAGAGATATAGAGTTTGTTTTGATGGACAGAAATGTTAAAAGTAAGTGTTTTCACTTTGGTGTAAAAGTAGTCTAGTTGATGACGAAGATCATTGTATGGGGTTTCCGGAGTTGTTAGGGAGATGCTGTAACTTATTGCATGGACATTCCCAGTAGCCCTGTGTAATTCAGTGGTACCATCTTCTTGTTCAAAAAAAAAATCTGTGGTACTATCTTGGTACTTTCTTAATGAACTTTGACCTTATACAAAAATATTTAAAACTATGTCTGGTTGGGGTAAAAAGGAAAAAAAAACAAAGAAGCTTAGGAGGAATGCAAATAAAAGAGGAAACTTACGAATCATTTCTTTTTAAGTAAAAATGTACAGGAAGCGAAAGTAGAGGGGTGCATATCCCTCTATCTATATTACATAGTCTATCTAAAATTTGATGGAAAAATGAAACGTATTTGTCTTTCTTCTCTTCCAACCATCCAAACAACCAGATGTACATGGCTACCCTGCACTTAAGGGAGGAAAATCAGCAGACAACCGATTCTTCACTTAAGGGAGCTGAGTAGTATGATCTATCTCCTTTATGCTACACATCCCATTATAGAACCAAACAGTGTACAAGTTGCATCTAAATCTAATGGCCACTTGAGTTTGAGATATAGTATTTCAAATACTTCTAAATTTTCACGGTTAAGAGCGTCCAACAATTTCACCTAGTGGTCAATGGAGTGTGTATAAACCTCGGAGGCTAGAGTTCAACTCTATGTTGCTTATCCTCCAAAGGTTCCACCACACCCGTGTCAGGTCGTTCAAAATTGCATTACTTTTGGATTACCCGATACAAACCGGTAGTTTTTTTGGAGGATTGAGTAACATATGTTTAAATCCCGGTAGAGACAAAAATGATACGTGATTTCTTTCCATCTTCCTAAGTCTTGGTAGGTAGAGTTACCTGATACCTATGCTGTTTGGAGGTAACAGGTAACGGTGGAATAGTCGAAGTATGCGCAAACTGGTCCAGATACCACACTATAAAAAGGTCCATAACCATTATTTTGTTGATACAATAGGTGTATAATGTAATGCTCTTCAGGAAATTAAGTGATGTAAGTCAACTATGTTTTGCATGTCGCTATAGATTATTTTGAGACCACTGCACTTAGTCTTCTATACAAGTGAAAAATTCTATGCTCAATCAGTTGGTCCAAGAGCTTTCTCATTTGCTGTGCAGAACCATGTTCCTTCACCGCATTGTTCTCCAAAATGTGCATTAGTTGCTCTTATCTCCACAAATATGACATTGATTGACAATCTTATGTTCAATGGTCATTTCATCTGTATGAAAAACTTGATTACCTAGTTGTTGCTATACCATAACTTTATGGTGTAAAATTGATTATATAAAAAATAACATGATGATCGATGCCTTTAACTTGTGTGAATTGTCATTGTCTATGTGAGGTGTGAGTAAGCTATTATTTAATGTTCGAGGTTAAAGTTTTAGGTACGTAAGGACAGAAGCTTAACACAGCAAGTTGAGTACTAAGGCTTGTGGTATTTGATATTTAGGTATGTAGAACTAGTGAAAATAGTGATGTCGTGTACTCCTTATCAAAAGAGAGTTTTTTTATCAAAAAATATGAGAGATGCCCTTTGCTTTCTTTCTCCCCTTCTCTACCCTCCCCCCTCTTTCCTATAAAAAGCACATACACGATTTAAAAAATAAACAGAACAAATAAGAACTTTACCATGCTAAATAGGCATGCCATGCAATCACGGGTCCTAATTTTGCACGGAAGCTCTAGTTGATGGCTATCTCTGTATTGCAGTTTGAAAGCTATCTCTGTTTTGGAGAACGAGGGTGGTCTAAAATAGATATTTGCCCTATTCTCATATTTATAGACCTCTATGAATTCTTCCATAATCTGTCGGATGACCTCTCCATGCTTTGTGATTTTTATTCTGTGAGTGGTTGCTTATGCTAATAGAAAATTGCTAGATATATTTGGGATATAGATATATGTTCTCTAGCCCATTGTTATGTGTTTTTGTATTAACTAGTCACAATGGCTACTGGTCTGTCTCCTTATTAGAACTGCTGAATTAAGGGTTGCGAGTTAGTTTCTAAGTAGAGTTTAATTTTTATAGGTGTGGATGTTAGCATGAACACACACCTGAAGGCTGTCAAACTTACTCTAAAGGGAAAGAATCCAGTGACGTTGGATCACCTGAGTGTGAGGGGTAACAACATCCGTTATTACATTCTCCCTGACAGCTTAAATCTTGAGACTTTGCTGGTGGAAGAAACACCTAGGGTGAAGCTGAAGAAGCCAACAGCTGGTATTGTCATATTCTCAAGGACTCTGTTCAAAAGTTTTTTTATGCCTTCTAGCTGTATGGGTTAAATTTCCTTGATGCTTGGTCATCCTACTAATATCCCCTTCCTGTGATTCTTCCTCTTCAGGAAAGCCTTTGGGACGTGGTCGCGGGCGTGGTCGCGGGCGTGGACGTGGTCGAGGCCGCTAAATGCATTCCAGCTCTTCTAATTTTTTGCAGTATGTCTATGTTAACGTATATGTATGGATGGAGAGATTTGCTCTTAATTTTCCAGCGGAAAAGAGATCAATCTCATGCAACAATTTATTCTGGATCTTTAAAATCAGAGCCTGTTATTTTGTTGCATCATATGGACCACTAACATTACTACCCAATCTCGTTCACTTCTGCTCCGCCTAAACAAGGCAGAACAATTATGGTTACTTTTGCATCCGGCCAGGTGCATTCCTCCCTTTTTATTTTCCTTACTATAAACTTTAAGCTTTTTTCACTGCATTAACCTTTACCCAACCTCCATAGTGCTAACACTTGAAGGAAGAAAAAAAGGACTGTTGGGACATCGGCCTGATCTGTTGAGTACAGTTGTTACTGAAGTAGGAGAAAGGCCAAAACATTTCTATCAGTAGCATTTGTCTAATTGAGTTAGTGATATAGTTATCTGTAGTGTTTGCAGACCGGCACACATTTTCCTTCATAATTTAGTCTTTTACAGTAAAGGATTTTATGCATGTGTGTATCTGGGCTTTCTTTTCCTAACTTGTTTATCTGTCAACACTATTAATCTATCAACTAGCGCTCAATCTATAAATCAACATTCTGTAATTCATTTTGGTTTTCAAGCTGTATTTTTGCATTTTGCTTCATTTCACCCAATAACGTTTTAACCAAACCGTGAAAACAATAGCCAATAGTAGTGCTTTCTCTCTTAATGAAAATGAGTCTGGTTGGTGGGATAAGGGATTATAGTTTTGATTCCAGGATTAGCAATCTGAGGATTGTTTATATCATAATTGTGGTATTATTTTTGTACCACATTCTGTATGGGATAACAATTTCCAGAATAAAACAACTAAATGACATTTCTTCTTTTTTCTCGAAGTTTTTTAAGAAAGACGAGGTAAAAATTAGAAATATGTGTATCCCAATTTATCTAGTTTAAACAAAACTCATATTTATAGTATAATATCCAATATTTTTATTCTAATGAACTAAACATATACAACAACAACAAGCCCAGTAAGTTCCCACAAGTGAGGTATGTGGAGGGTAGTATATACGCAGACCTTACCCCTACTCTAGGAGGGCAGAGAGGCTGTTTAGACCTTCGGCTAGGGAGTAGATGAAAAGAAGCATAGGTCATAAGTTAACAACAACAATATATTAAAAAAAAGAATCTTGTTATTATTTAATTCTTTTATTATAATTTAGGAATAACTTATTGCCCAACCAAACAAGGCGAATTATCCAAACTGTCATTCAATAAACTTTCCCAACCAAAAATAGCCCAAAACAAAATATCTACTAAAAAAGGCCCAAATGTCATTTTGGGCCCAAATAGTTTCAATTAATGTCAGTTTTTTTGTATTCGTTATTTTTGTAATACAGACACCGAGTTTTCTCTCTCTCTCTCTCTCTCTCTCTCTCTGCGATTTTTTGCTAAATTGAACCAAAATTGCTGAAATTGGCGACAAAACAAGAAACATTTGCGGTTATTTTCGTCTGATTTCAGGTAATTTGGAGTAAAATAATCTCTTGTTTTGTATATTTTTTCGGATTGCATGTGTTTTTGGAGAAGCAATGTTGCTTTTTTAGGCTTTTGCGACTGAATTGTTTAGTTAGAGTTCGTTGTATGTATCTGTTATAGACGATTTTGTTAGTTTTGGTCGAGTTTTGTATCAATTTCTTCACAAAACTCAGTAACCGTTTGTTCGTATAATTTTGTTTTAAAAAATTCTCGTTGAACCTAGTTTCAATTGTGAAATAGAGTAATATGACAAGACAAACTCGTTCGATGAGTTCATCACCTTATTCAAAGTCGGTTTCAATTGAGAAATTGAACAACATGAGAAGAGAAACTAGGTCGATGAGTTTATCTCCTCATTCAACCCCAGTTTTGGTTGAGAAATCGATTGATGAACGAAATATGGGAAGACAAATTCGTTCTGACAATGTTAAAGTGTTAGAATCTCGAAAGGATGTTGTTAGACAATCTGAGAAAAAGAAGAGCAAACTGGTTAAAGTGGATGATGCTGAAGGTAAGAAAAAACGTGTAGTGGAGGACGAAGTGAATTTGGGTGTCAAACTAAAAAAAAAAAAGAAGTAAGGTTCAGAAGGCAAAAAAAGTTAAAATTCCTGACAAAGTTTGTAAGGTACATACAATTTCAGTTATATTTTTTTTCTTTCTATTATTGAATCTTCTTTTAAAATTGGATTTAGTTTGTATTTGTTTGTTTTTAATTCGTGTCATTTATTTGTAGCCTAGGAAGCTTTATATTCCAGTTGGTGAGCCTTTTCCTATTACTCATTGGACATCATACACTAATGTGGACATCGTATCAGTTTTACAGTCAAAGCTGACTGATGTCCAGCTTCAGATGTTTAGGGAAAGCTGTTTTGGCTATTTTCTTGATTTACCTCGAGTTGCTATCCAGACACAACTTATTCGTTCTTTAATGTTTAGGGAGTTGGTTCAAGATAAGTGTGATCAATTTTATGTGAAATTGAATGACGAATGTGTTTTATGTTTTGGTCTTTGGGAATTTGGTGTTGTAAGTGGTTTAAACTATTGTGGCAATGAACATGTTGAGGGTAACTTCAGTAGACCCAATAGGTTGGTGGATACTTATTTTTCTAGTTTTGAAGCGGTGTCAAAGAAGTCACTTATTGATTGTTTTGAGAAGAAGAAATGGCAGTCTGATGAAGACGCACTTAAGATTACAATCATTTATTTCATAAACACATTTCTAATGTCCACTCTGGCTCAGAAGACATTTATAAGTAAACGTGATTTCTATCTTGTCGAGAGTGGTGAGTATGTGTCCTTTCCTTCGGGTAAGATTGCGTTTCGAGCTTTAATGAAGTCGGTGAGGGATAAGTTGATTTGAAAGTCTTGCACTACAGGTGTGGTTCTATGAATGTTGCACTGTAGTTGATCAAAAGTTTTTTATTCGCGTTGGAGATCATACACCACGCATGTTGAATTGGGAAACGACAGACAAGCCAACGCGTGAGGACGTCTCTACTGGTTTTTCAACAGCACAGGGAATACGGTACCAGCTTTTATGTATTGATGGGTTATACATATATGATACATTATAATTCATTGTGATACATCAAATATACAATTTTTATACATCTTTGATACATCTAGGACTGAAGCACTTTTTGTTACATTCGCAGTTTAAAAATATTTCTCCTACAACTGAAGAGCTAATCTCCTCTCTCTAGGCGATTCGATGGAAATTTGAGCAGCCATGGCTGCTTCGATCTCTCCCCAGCCTTTAACTGTGGGAGAGCAGATCCAAAACACAAATGAACCAAACCAAAATATAAAATGCCATCAATCATATGCTGCCCAAGTTCTGCCACCGAAATCTGATACAAAAATTCAAAAAACTGACTTGAATGCGGTTAAAATCATCCATGGAGAACCAACAATTGCATTTACCATGGAAGAAGTTAGTAAGTTCACAATCTCAGAAGGATTACACCAATCCGTCATCGTCAAATTTTCTTACGGAAAATCAGATCTGCGCGACTTGAATATTATGTAACTTGAATTTCATCATATACTAGTAAAATTTGATTTATATGAATATTATGTTCAGTTCTTATCAAGGTCGACAGGATATGTTAAAGCCAAAGGGGAGTAATTTTTCTTTCGGACTTTTCCATGGACGCTAGGATTCAATCCTAGGGAGGAAACATCGAAAGCAGTTGTCTGGATTTCCTTTCCAGAACTGCCGCCCGACTTCTTTGCAAAACAATCGCTACTATCAATAGCTTCAGCAGTCGGAAAGCCACTGGCCGTGGACAAAGCAACAAAACATCGTACAAGACCGAGTGCCGTAAGGGTTAAGGTGCTACTTGACTTACTGGACAAACATCTTAATCAAGTTAAGTTAAAAATTATTGATAAAATAACTGGGAAAGCTTTTGTATTTTATCAGCAGGTTATGTACGATAATCTACCAAAATATTGCTCGTATTGTAAACATCAAGGGCATGATGAACGATCATGTCGTGTGATGCATGGGAAGAGTAATACAACTGAAAAGGCTGGAGATAATGTACTGGGTATACTTAATGAGATAAATAATGTTGAGCAATATAAGCGAGACGCTAGACAGTTACTAAACGCAAAAAAATCTGGGCAAAAAGATGGAGTCCACCAGGCTGCTACAGACAAAGTTGCTGCCATTATTCCAATGGAGCTTGTTCAGTTAAATGTAGGGAACAAGGCAGTAGGTGTTGCTCAGTTTGTTAATCCTGTAGCAACATGGAACCAAGTCAAAGATAGTAGACCAAAGGCAAACACTACTTGCAAAGACAAAGACACTACTGGTAAGGAACTTGCTCTGATCGAGGCTATAACTGATACAGTAGCGGCAACAACAACTAATAAAGCTGTGATAATTGCAAATAAATTTGCAGTACTTGAAGAGAGAATGGAAGACATTGACTAGAATCGACAAGTCACAATGGTGGAAGAAGCTAGGGAAGTGCAGAAGATGGCTGAGAAATATCCTGATTCGACAAGGAAACAAGTCACTAGGTCTCCAACCAAGAAGCTTAACCATAAAGCTACTAAGTTTACTCCTGTTGGTCAAGGGAATAAGTCAGCATCACAAAAGGAGTCCACATCACAATGGGTTACTAGAACTTTTGGGCAAGGTGTTACTACAAATCAATCGTGCAAAGAAATTCCTTCACAAACCATTGACTCAAATGCAACAGGTGAAAAAGCTACTGCTACAAAAGAGAAGACAATTGACGGGGTTCAGAGGAGCTTTGGCATGCACAAGGAACATATTAATGTGCCCCTCAACCGTTCTTGTCAAGACATACCATTGCAAACATTTGTGAACTCACCTGAATCAGATGGAAAAACTACAGGTTCTATACAGCAGATGTGTTTCATTACCGAGGTACATCCTACACCAATTTCTGATGATGGAAGGGAGAACTCACTACCAGCACAAGGTCATAAATATGGATCCAGGAAGCCTTTACACAATAACACAACTGGGGAAGTAATTGCCAATGTTGGTTGTGAATTTACAATAGTTTCAGATAAGGAGAAAGCCAGTAATCATGATGCAGAGCCACATCAAAATACATTTAGGTCAGAATCTAAAAATGTCACTGTGAAGGGTTCACTGATTATGTATGAGCAACCGGGGTCAGCCATGGTCCCTATGGA